GGGGGGGGGGGGGGGAGGAGGAGGAGGAGGAGGAGGAGGAGGAGAGGTCCTTGCTTGGTGCTCTCTGAGCTTTCTTGGAGACATTTCATGGTCTAGCTAGGGAACATCATCAGTGCTAGAAGAGAGTGGGGTTTATGGAAAGGAGAAGGAGAAGGAAAAGGAGAGGAACTGTGAGGTCCTTGGTGCTCTCCAAGGTTGGTAGTATTCTGACAGGTGTTTCATTACCAAACTAGGCAACATCATCATTGCTGACGTTAGATTCCGACTCCACTGTAGAACCGAAGGTGGTTTTCTGCAAGAACACCACCAAGCACAAAGGGCATCAAAGAACCAACAGTTCAACCCTGAGCTACAGGTGTTCTCTTCTATCAGTTCATCAAGTCCCATCTTGCAACCACAAGGGTGTCAAATGTCTTGGGCCAGTCCCTCTTTCTTGGTTTGAATTATTTGGGCAGATGGAGAGAGTTAATTGTTGGAGGATTATTTGAAAACAATCTACATTTAGTTGTTTAACCCTTTCAATGGCTTGGTCCACATTCCTTAATGGATTAGATGTTCCAATGAAGATCTTCTGGACCGACTGTACAAGAAGAACAAGGTGACAGAAGCAGAGGTGAGAATCCTTCCTCCTGTATTTTAGGGAAAGGACCAAATATTTTAAGACAAACAAGGATAGTTGAATTCAGTTGAATTCCTTCCCCAGTTCATTTCTTTCTGGTGTTATAGACTCAACTTCCGTTATCTCCAGCCAGCCCAAATATAATTCTCAATACTGATTATATGTAGCTCAGAGTTGAATTGTGGGGTCCTTGATGCTCACTGAGCTTGTTGGTTTTCTTGCAGACATTTCATGACCAAACTAGGTAACACGATCAGTGCTAGAAGGATCTGTGTTTAACTTTTCTCCCAAGCAGCTTAGGGCAACCATGACCTGGATGACTGAGAATCTCTACAGACTTTTTTTTAATGTGACCTGAATAACTTCACCTTCCCCCTTCTGAAATAGGTCAAATTCTACATCAAGCAACTTCTAGAAGGCATCCTGTATCTTCACAGCAATGAAATATTACATTTGGACATCAAGGTAACTTTTATGAAAATTGGAAGCTTGCACCTATCTAATGTCTAGTCCCATTTTAGGCATGAAAGCCAGCGGGCTGACTTTGGGCCAATCACCAGGAGACATTGAGTTCTAGCCCTGCCTTAGGTATGAAAGCCACTGGATGGTTTTAGGCCAATCATCAAGAGATGTTGAGTTCTAGTTCTGCCCTAGGTGTGAAAGCTGGCTAGGTGACTTTTGGCCTATCACTCTTAGCCCAACCCAGCTCACAGGGTTGTTGTTGTGGGGAAGTTAGGATAAAGAAGGTGTGTTGGATGTGTTCACCATCTTCAGTTATTTGTAAAAATAATAAAGGCAGGATATAAGATAAAATATAAAATTTAAAAGAAAAAAACAAGACAAAATTAAAGTAAAACAACAACAACAACAACAACAACAACAATAATAATAATAATAATAATAATAATAATAATAATAATAATAATAATAATAATAATAATAATAATAATAATAATAATAATAATAATAATAAACAACTACTGTGGGACTTCCGAATACAGACTGACAGAGTTCTGGAACACAATACCCCGGATATCATGTTTGTGGAGAAGAAAAAAGTGTGGATCGTCGACATTGCCCTATCTGGTGACAGCAGAATCGGCGAGAAGCAACTTGAAAGAGTCACCAGATATCAGGACTTGAGAATCGAACTGCAGAGACTCTGGCATAAACCAGTGCAGGTGGTTCCAGTGGTACTGGGCACACTGGGTGCTGTGCCTAAAGACCTAGGCAAGCACTTGGAAACAATTGGCGCTGACAAGATCACCGTTGGTCAGCTGCAGAAGGCCACCTTACTGGGATCTGCCCGCATAATCCGCCGATACATCACGCGGTCCTAAACGCTTGGGAAGTGATCGACTAGTGATTTGTGATACGAAACCCAGCGTGGTTATCTCGTTTGCTGTGTACACTGTCATTTTTGTGTATAATACTTGATAATTGATAATGAATAATTAATAATTACAACAATAATAAATCCTTCCTCCCCCATTTCTCCCCAGTTAGGCTGAGCTGCCATCTAGGAATGAAGCTGCTAAGAGCCACGTCTTCTTTCTTGGCCAATTCTCTCTATTCCTTCTTCTGGCCAGTTCCCACCATCTCTCTTCCATCTCTTCCATCTCCAATGGACCACAAGGAGAAATAGAATAGAATAGAACATTCTTTCTTGGCCAAGAATTTGTCTCCAGTGCATAAGCTCACAGTGTACATACAAGCACTAATTATAATCATAATCATAAAATACAATCATCGTAAATCATAGATACGACAAGGGGTGGGCTTCAGAAAATTTAACAACCATTTCTCTGCCCAGTTGCTGAGTGGGTGTGGCCTAGTCGGCCTCCTGCACCAAGGTGTGTGGGGGGGGGGTTCACTCTCTGGAGGCTTCCCTTGAGCCTCCAGGAAAGCAAAAACGGGCTCCCTGGGCTCCGGAGCCTCTTTGGAGGCTGGAAACAGGCCCATTGCCGGTTTTTCGCCCACCCTGAGCCTCCACGTGGCCCCTGAACTTACCTGCAATCCAAAATGGGCCGCGTAGGGAGTCGTGGGAGAGTGGGGTGGGCAGGGCCAGCCAGGGGTTGAATTTGCCGGTTTGCCGAACTAGCCATAAAATTAACAACCTGTTCGCTCGAACCGGTGCAAACTGGTAGTAGCCCACCCCTGGATACAACACTCAGGGATAGTCATCGCATACGAAAGCAATCAAGATAAATCATTAGGTTACTAAATAAAAGCAATCAACATAAATCATAAGATACAAGCAGCAAAGTGATAGTCATCAGATGCTAAAGGGGTAGCTAATAGGACAGATGAGGAGGATAGTAAGTAAATGCAGACCTACGACGTGGTTTAATATCCTAGCATCTAGGTCATAAGACAGAGCTGTGGGAATTACCGTATTTGCCGGCGTATAAGACGACTTTTTTGCCCTGAAAAACATGCCTCCAATTGGGGGGGTCGTCTTATATGCCAGGTCGTCTTATACGCCGGCAAATAGTAATTGGGAAGCACTGCGGCTGCCTGCGGCTGAGGCACTTTTGCGCACCGTGGAAACGAATCCCGTGAAGCCGAAAGGAGCAGCCAGCCTTCTCCCAGCTCCCAAGGAAACGAGGCTCGCACCGCCCGGGCTCCGCTGAGGTATCCGGCTGGGGATGTCAGGAGTTGTTACCGCTGGCGCGGCTCCGCTCGGCTCCAGTCCCGCGTTGCCTCGGGAAGGGAAAGGCAAAACCAGGAGCCGCTGCTGCCATTGCAAAGCGCCGCCGCGGCTCTTCCTTTTTGCCTTTCCCTTCCCGAGGCAATGCGGGACTGGAGCCGCGCGGAGCCGCGCCAGCGGTAACAACTCCTGACAGCCCCAGCCGGATACCTCAGCGGAGC